CCCCCCACCCCAAAAAATTTTTTAAGTTGTTTTTAAAAATTATTTTCTACTCTAGTAAAAATAAAAGATATTTCTCAAAAACATTTTTCATTCATAAATCAAACACTAAAAATCTTTTCCGGAAAATATTTTCTACTCACCAACCAAACATGAGAAAATAAGTCAAAAAATCTACTTGTTTTCCAGAAAAAACATTTTCCTTCATACCAAACACACCCTTTGTGTCATCCATAGATATAGTAACTGTAATAAAGCTCAAATCAAAATCAAATCAATACTAATGCTAAAAAAAAAATCAACTAAGAATGACAATAATATCAAATATTTGTTCTTTAATTTTACATTGGTTTAGAAAATTAAAATACATAACCTAATTTTAGTTTTTCTTCAATGTTTAGTCATGTATATTAGACTTATTTTTGCATGATTTAGTACTTTTAAAGTATGACAAAAAAAATTTAATGACATATTAATTTGCAATATTTGTTTTATGCAATTTCATTATCATTTTTTGTTAATTTTTTTGTGTCATCACTCATCTCATATTTTGTGTTATTTTCTTCAAAAATACCTCAGATGATTGTATTTTGGTAGGACTAATGATATATTTAAAGTACAAGTTAATTATATGTTTGTATGAATGCTTTATCGAATAAACCCTATAAAATCCAAAAAACCTGAGGTTGAAAAATCCGCATTTTATAATTAGTTTGTTTGGTTTATAAATTTTAAAATTCGACAATAATGATTTGGTTTGATATTTAAAAAATTTGATCTAACCTGATCATATACACGCCTAATTGTTATGATAAAGAAGTAAAATATAATGTGAAAAATCGAGTATTAAGAAAATCATATCATTATAACGTAATATTATCATAAAGAATTAATAACTGTTATAACAAGATTTGACTGTACATATTGAATTAAGATGGAGACAAATTAGTTATGTTATTAAAAGGGGTGTAAATTTCATATATGACATATATTATATTAATAATTTCGAGTTATAGCAGTAGATTTAGACTTTCAAGTTATAACATTAAAAATTTCAGGTTCTAACAAATTATTAAAAAAAATATTTTTAATAATTGAAAAAAGTTGTTTAAAAAAAAAAGAATAAAAGAAAAATTTAAAAAAAACCCGGAATTGATGGTAAAAAGGTAAAAAATTGAAGTTGTGGTGTTAATTTAATTTGAATTTAGTGTAGATAATTAATAATTGGCACGAAATAAGGGATCCAAACTAATTAAGATTATTTAGTATCCTTAATTCACTCAAATTAGTTAAAATCAAATAAAAATCAGATTTTAACTGGGTTTTTTTCAACATTTCTCTCTCTTCATTGTTTCTTCATTGTTCTGCCAGAAAAAATTTCCAGTATCGAGTAATTGAAGTTTTTTTTTTATATTTGAAAAAATTTGATTTTGTTGTGATGGACAACAACGTATCAATATTAATTAAACATGGTGGAAGATGGGATCCTTCAGGTTAGTATTTATTATTGTTTATTGTTTGTTTTTAAATTACAGTGAAATGAAAAAAAAAATCATAAACCTGTAAATCGTCAATATATTTAAGGTGATATCACTTTTTGTTAACTGTTGTGAAATATATAGTATTAGTGATTTTTTGTTTTTGTGGTTGTTTTGAATACTGTTTTTTTTTCTTGAAGTATAAATTAAATGTTTATTTTTGAATGAATTTGATAGAATAAATGGAAAGAAATTTGTATGAAAGTGTGTTCAGTAATCTATTAAAAAGGTTATTTAGAATTTTGACGAATTGGATGAAAAGTGATTTAAGTTGATAATGAATTTGATAGAATAAATGAATTGAAATTTGTATGAAAGTGTGTTCAGTAATCTGTAAAAAAAGTTATTTGGAAGTTTGACGAATTATATGACAAGTGTTTTAAGTTGGTATTAAATTTGTAATTTTAGTGTTTATATTAGTTTTGTCATTTCTGTATAAAGTTGTTTGATAGTAATGAAGTATTTGGTACGAGCGAAATGTATATATTTGAAAAGAATGATGATTGTTGTATGAAATGTGTATTAAGTGAGTTTGAAATGTGTATTTAATGAGTATGAAAAGTGTTTTGTAATGTACTGAATGATATTTGTATGAAAAAATAAAGACAAGTGGGTATAATTTTGTTGTTATTATAATGATTTTTATATATGAACCTATCCCTTGCGAGAGTCCAAAGAGAACGGTAGGAAGACCGCAACTTGAACACTGGAAGGGGTTTGCTGAGTGAAATTCAAAAGGTCTAAAGTTACCTGGAGTAGATGTCGTCAAATTGGCCACAACAGGAAGACATGTTCAAATTATCCTGTGCAAAACTAATGACTGTTTATTTTGTTGGTTATATTAATGTTTTGTTTTGATATGAAACATAATTGGTTTGAAGTGCATTACAGCTTAGTGTTTAATATACTGCTCATTCTTTATACATTGTTCATTCAGTA